GCAGTTTTGAAGCGTCCTGGGGCCCGCTTGGGGCTCCCTTTTTTGCGGCCTCTTCGGGGCGTCTTGAGGCTTATTGGGCGCCTCCTTTGGGACGCTTTTGGGGGCTCCTTGGGGCCTCTTGGGGGCCTCTTGGGGCTTCCTCTTGCCTCCCGGCTTCGGACCTCAGGACCCGAGTCTCTCGTCTCTGTGTGCTGGCGCACCTGCGCCTCTCTGGGGGCCTCTCGTGGCCACGGCCGGGCGCCCCTCGAAGAAGGTGTGAGGCCGGAACGCACCCCACGACAGGTCCAGGAGGGAGGGATGCTTCGCCTCCTCCTCCCGCGCCCCATCCCTCTTCCCTCCTCCCCTTCTCAGGGGGGCCCCTCGCCGGGCGCCGTAGCCATCGAGAAAAAAAACGACTCGGGGCGAGAAGCCTGACCTTGGCGCGCGGGGCCGAGCCGGGGCCCGCGCCGCGAAAGGATGCCCATACAGCCGGGGCGCTGAAGAAGGGACCCTTGTCGTTGGGGAGGGTCAGTCACGCGCAGAGGGGGGTATGGGGGAGGGGGGAAGGCTTCTTAGAAGCACCCCTGCTTCTTAGAAGGCGCGGGCCTTCTCTATCGATGTAAGGCCGGCGCCTTCTAAGCAGCAGCCTTCTTATAAGAAGGCTTCCCCCTCCCCCTACCCCCTTGTGCGCGCCGCCCAGAGAGGCTCGGTGTTCCTTGATTGTTTTGCAGTTTGCCTCAAGTGTTCCTGAGGTCTTCCATGGGAGATCGAAGTTTTACTTATGGGAGAAAGGGACTTCGTTCCTTATTCAGGGTTCCTTAGGTCAACGCCCCGACGGTACGGCATGGGTAGACAACTAGTGGACACTCCCCCGCTCCCCCAAGCTCGAAGTTTGCACGCGCGGGGAAGACTGCGGTCGAAGTGCAACACATCACCGCCAACTTTGAACAGCGGGCGGAGGGGGAGACGTTGACCGATGAATGTGGCATGCGTCTTCGCTACTTTTTTCTCCAAGGCCTGGGGCTATGCGCGCGGCAGAGATACGCCGGGCGTAGAAGAGCTCCTTGACATCGTTCCGACGCGTGCTTTTTTTCTGGCCAGCACCATCGAGGAGGATCTTGGTTTTGCGCAAAGAAGAAAATACGCGCGAAATCAAACAATGCACGTGGCATGGACGCCCGAGCGATGGCAAGGCTCCCCCACTCGCCCGGCACCGAATTGCCCATCCGAGCCAGTGCCGCCTATCCTTCCCCTCCTCCTCCGAGTAGGAGTTCGACTACAGAATTGCTGCATCCCAGAGTTGAAACTTCCGTAGAATCTACGACCAATGCGTAAACATGCTCGTAGATCTACGAACATTCCACGCAGTTTCTTCCGTAGGTTCGACGAAATTTCAATTTCTAGAGGTCCATCAATTGTGCAGTGATTCTCCTCCTCGACTCCTGCGTCCTCCTGCCAGGGTGATTGGTTGGGGCAGCGGCGGTTGTAGCACGAAGGTTGGCAGCGCCGTTGCAGATCTTAATTATGTTTGTGCCGCCTCGCTGTCCACGGCACGGCTGAGTTCCACCACATGCATCGGCGCGTGTTGTGCGTTCATCGGCACACAACAATCGAGGAGGGCACGGCGGAATGACAGCCGCTGCGCTAACGAGCCACGCGCCTGCATCTAGGCGATTCTTCGTCGCAGTGACTGCATGGCGTGCATGTGTGTGTAGTTGTTTGCGGCGGTGCCGTCGCCTCGTCGGAGAAGGACACTCTGTGTGTCGTTATGTGTGATTGTGTGTGTGCGCGTTAGTGAGTCCAGGGAGCACGTGCGCCTCTGAACACGACTGCGAAGGCGCGCAGCCGCACAAAAACATGTGTATGACGACGCTCCCGCGCAAGTGCGCGCTTCAGCGCGCCCGCGTCGCGCGTGCCGAGGGGCGTGCCCACACGTGTGCGAATGCCCACTGGACATGTGCTCGTGATGATCAGAGGAGGGCGAGTTGAGACAATCGCAGCTGGCCCTCGGGGCAGGAGGTGGGGGGGTGCAGGGGCACGTTGCCACGACCAGACACAGCGCGAACATTTTGTGTTAAGTCGGGCCTGCCCCTCTACAGGAGGAATATTCAAAAATTATTACCCTGCGACGTACCCGACCCAGTGCAATCACGTGGCAAGAAGAGTAGGGAAACATTAGCAGGAACAATGACAATGCATGCGCGGCGATTTGTAGTGCAAGCTGCATGGGACACGTAATGTTGCACGACTCTCAGGACAGCAATCGATAACACGAGGATAACGGGGGCATGAACGAGGGATAGGAGAAGGACGAACCTAATAGGGAGGGGCGAGGAGCCATCGCGGCAGCAGCAGCAGCGTGAATGCATAAGGTGACAGGAGGACTAGGGCGGCCATGGTGACAGAGGAGGGAGGACGCAAGAGACTGTTTCGTTTTTGCAGGAGCTCGGTCAACGCATGCCTGCTGCCTGTCCACAGGATCATGCCTGTTTATATCTAGTGCGAGAAGCGATCGAGACCTAGCTCGCGCGCCAGCTTCTCTGCCTCCTTCCTGCATGTTGCAGCGCGGGAGCTGAACTTCCGCAGTTTCTCCGCAAGGTCTGCCGGTGGGCCGCGGGCAAGAAAGTCAAGGCCGGGGTCGCGCACCATCAGAAGGTTGTCTATCGCCGTCGCCCTGGACAGCATCACGTAGAGGTGCAGCCATAGAGCGTCCAGGTCGCTCGCATCCTTGCACCCTGCGTCAACAATGACTCCGTGGTGCATGGTGCGGCCCTGGCAGGCAGTGGACGTCAGGACCTCGGCGTGGGAGATGACGAAGCCAGTGCGCGTGACCTTGTACTTGCGGAAGTCGAACGGGCTCGAGCTCTGTGGCTCGATGAAGACGAGGCCCGCCGCGTTTGCAGCGTCGATGCTGTCATCGAGCTCCTTGAGCTTCTTTCCGCAGGGGCCACCCTTGTACTTGTCCATGCGCACCCACACGCCGTACGGCAGGTACCGCAGGTACGCCCGACCTCCCTCGGCCTTCGCTCTCTCCACCACGCCCTCATCCTTCGGGTTGATGGCCACGTGCACGACCTCGCCCTCGGCGTCCTTGACGAGCCCCTTGTTGAGGTCCAGGTGCTCCAGCAGGCGTATGCGCATGCCCACGTGCAGCGGCAGCGTCCCGTGAATGCCGCCCGGGTTGACGCGGTTGACCAGCTTCGCGGCCAGGTCCACGGGCAGCGAGGGCGAGGACTTGTCGGCTGCCTGGACGAGGTAGAGCACCCATCCGAGGGACGCGGCGCCCCTCCTCGCCCGCATCATCATCCACCGAGCCACGGTGTCCCAGAACCAGGCGAGCATGTGTCCAGTCTGGAACCGCTCCTCGCCCAGTCGGGGGTCGTTGGGCTTCATCTGAATGCGTCTGCGACAGTTTCGCAGATCACAGCCCCCCAGGAATGGCGAGGTGTAATCTGAGTCCCCGTAAGACGTCACTGTGCTGGGCCCCCCAGCAGCCCTCGAAGGTGGCGACAGTTTCACAGATCGCAGCCCCCCAGGGATGGCGAGGTCTAATCTGAGTCCCCGTACAACGTCACTCCGCTGCCCCCCCCAGCAGCCCTCGAAAGTGGCGACAGTTTCACGGATCGCAGCCCCCCAGCGATGGCGAGGTCTGATCTGAGTCCCCGTAAGACGTCACTGTGCTGGGCCCCCCAGCAACCCTCGAAAGTGGCGACAGTTTCACAGATCGCAGCCCACCAGGGATGGCGAGGTCTGACCTGAGTCCCCGTAAGACGTCACTGTGCTGGGCCCCCCAGCAGCCCTCGAAAGTGGCGACAGTTTCACAGATCGCAGCCCCCCGGGGACGGCGAGGTCTGACCTGAGTCCCCGTAAGACGTCACTGTGCTGGGCCCCTCAGCAGCCCTCGAAAGTGGCGACAGTTTCACGGATCGCAGCCCCCCAGCGATGGCGAGGTCTAATCTGAGTCCCCGTAAGACGTCACTGTGCTGGGCCCCCCAGCAGCCCTCGAAAGTGGCGACAGTTTCACAGATCGCAGCCCCCCAGGGATGGCGAGGTCTAATCTGAGTCCCCGTAAGACGTCACTCCGCTGGCCCCCCCAGCAGCCCTCGAACGTGGCGACAGTTTCACGGATCGCAGCCCCCCATCGATGGCGAGGTCTAATCTGAGTCCCCGTAAGACGTCACTGTGCTGGGCCCCCCAGCAGCCCTCGAAAGTGGCGACAGCTTCACAGATCGCAGCCCCCCAGGGATGGCGAGGTCCAATATGAGTCCCCGTAAGACGTCACTCCGCTGAACCCCCAAGCAGCCTTCGAAAGTGGCGACAGTTTCACAGATCGCAGCCCCCCAGCGATGGCGAGGTCTAGTCTGAGTCCCCGTAAGACGTCACAACTCCGCTGAACCCCCCAGCAGCCCTCGAACGTGGTGACAGTTTCACAGATCGCAGCCCCCCAGGGATGGCGAGGGGCAAGCGACGTAAAAGGCAAGAGAGAAGAGGAGGACCGAAGTTGAGAGGTGAACGGAAGCAAGAGAGAAGAGGAGGAGCCAACAGAGGAGAAGGGATGCAAGAGAAAAGAGGAGGAGGAGGAGGAGAGGAGGAGGAGGAGGAGGAGGAGGAGGAGGAGGAGGAGGAGGAGAAGGAGGGGAGGAGAGGAGGGGGACGGGAAGGAGGAGGAGGGGAGACGCGACCGCAGTGCTCTATTCAAAACGAGTACCCAACGCAGGAGTGTTGGGAATAAAAAGATAGTCGGGCGACGATTCTTTTACTATGTTTGAATACGGTTGGACTGTATTTCATTTGTTCCTCGAATATCTTCCTGTATGGGGGACGCGCCCGACCTAAATTTGGTGCTCTTGGGCCCCTGTGAGGGCCTGGGGGCCGATCTGGAGCTGCCGCTGCCTCTTCTCGCCCTGCTCCGAAGCAATGTTGCCAGTTCCAACTGCCACGGCTGTTCTCCGCCGCTGTGAGGCAGCGATGGGTGTAAAGAGTTGAGTTTCGCGAGTGGCGGCTGGTGGGTGGTGTTGGGAATGCGAGCTTGCTGTTTGTGCGGCTGCGGAGGTTGTGCCGCTTCCCCCATACATTGCAGTGTGTCATTTCGCCCCTCTGGTCAGGGTCAAGACCACGCGGGCTGGCTCGAGGCGCGATCCGCACTCTCGTGCTGCTTGCTCTTGCCTTCATCACGTTTGCGATTCCCGCGGTGCTGATGTATGAGGTCCGCACGGCGTATCACTCTGAGTACATTCTGTACTCTCTGCTCCGACCAGGCCTAATCCTTGCAGACCGCTACCATCTTGCGCATCTTGCCCTCCCTCCCCCCCCACCATGCGTGCGCACGAAGCGAATTGTTGACGCTTCGCGTGTCACCACCAGCCCCGCGGCGCGTTTAGTTGCTAATTAGGCCGCTGTCGTGACCCGTAGCGCTTCTGACTCCGCTAGCGCCTTCGCTAGCGGACGCGACCGACAAAAGTGTCACCACCAGCCCATCCACAAACGATCCCCAGACGAGCTTGCCGGCAACAGGGAAACGGAGGACAGGGCGAGAAGAAACAATGGGCAGGCTGCCGGGGGACTTGCAACTCACCGGTGCGATTGTGCTGGCCTCGGTAGATCTGTGTTGCTTCGTGCGGGGCGATGTTTTGGTAATCTGTACGATTCGTGGATTGCCGTATATGTAGTCCAGGGAGGATCTCTCGGTGTGTCGTTCACGACAGTCTTGGAGGATGGAGCACAGAGCGGGTACGGTGGGGGCGTTCGTTAATTCATGTGCCCAGGAGGCTTCAGACCCTGGAGGGTTCCTTATCTGATGAGGGCGGCTGTGATATCCATGGTCAATCCGCAATTGGTGTTTCACCAGCTCTGGGACCCTAGATCCTAGATTCCTTATCCAAGGGTTCCGTATCTAATGCACTCACATGCACTCACCGCAGTGGGCTGGTTTGATGTGTGCTCTACGCATTCTTCGTGGATGAAAACAGGAAGTGTAGGCGCATCCAGTGGAACAGACAGGTGAGCGCCGAAAGAAAACGGCGTCGATTGCGCCGAAATTCGCGCGTAGAAGTTGCCCGCGTAAGGTCGCGCGTCAGCGCCCTCGTCTCCAATGTTAGCGTTTCGCGCTGGCGGCCCGCGGAAGCCGCGGCGTAAGGTCGCTATGCCAAGTCGCGCAAGACCCGTTTCCTCTTCGCTGCTCGGGTGAGTCGGCCGTCCAATCGAAGGCCGGGATTCGGACCAGAAGCCGCTCGGGGGCTGCCCCCGGGCCGCTCTCCCAGGGCCCTTGCCGGCCAGCTTCTCGAGCCACGATTGGACGTGGCGGCGAGAACGTCGCCAGAGACCTCCGAAGACACGCGAGGACGACGGCGGTGGCGAGGTTGGCGACGACGGCCCGGCCAACACGCGTCCAAGCGAATCCCCAGAATCAGAGGATCGGGACCCACCGAACCACCCCAACCCAATCCGAAGGCCCCAAGTTGCCCTCCATTCCCTGTGGGGGGGAGAATCCCGGACGAGAACCTAGAAACAAAAGCACAGAGGGAACCCGTGCGCCTCCCAACCCGGGTTGGGTTGGGGTGGTCTGGTAAGTAGCCAGAGGAGGACAAGGTACCGACACCACGACCCATCCTTCGTTTTCACCTTTTGGGTCTCCTGGGAGGCCCTCGTCGCCACCGCCGGATTCGCCTCGCAGCTCTGGTCAGAGCGCACCCTGGAAGAGGTCTGGGGAGTGGCGGTATCAGTGCCTCTTGGCGTCCCCGCAGAAGCTCTCCTGGAGGGCGTTCTGGCCGATCGGTCTCCGAGGGTGCCGGTGCCCCCCGGAGCGGGCCCCCAGATGGCCGGAATGACAGAAGCCTGCTCGAGCCTCGAAGCCTATCTCGACCGACGGCGGCGGCGGCGGCGGAGCACGAGGACAACTGCCAACGAACAAACGAAGCGGCGGCTGCGGACGAACAGCGTCGAACGAGTGATCGAGCGAGTTGCGACGTCGACGTCGTCGCCGTCGACGACGACTGTGGCGGCGGCAGCGGACGACGACGACGACGACGATTACGATCTGCGCACGGGCGAAGCGACGGGCGGCGGCGGCGGCGGCGGCGGACGACGAACGATCGATCGATCAGACGAGCGGCCGATCGAGCGATCGAATGGCCGATCGCGCGAGAGCCCGAAAGCTCGAGCGACGGACCGATCCATCGGATGAGACTTAAGTCGGGCCTGTACCTCTACAGCAGGGAGATTCAAAACTGGTCCAAAAACAATCAGGGGACGAGTTTTCGAGTGAGTACTTTTTGGATTAGTTATGTTGGGGGGTATCTTTCATGCGTATTTTTCATTTGTCGTCCAAAATCCGCCTGTAGGGGGACGTGCCCGACCTAAGATGAGGCGTCGCCGGCGGTGGCGGCGGCGCGGCACGGCGCCGACGCGACACGGCGGCCCGCGCGCGCGACGTGTGCCGCCGCGGTGCTCAGGAGCTGGGCGCGCCGGCCACTCCCTCTGGGCGGAGCTCGCCCGCGGTCCGCCGCGCTCCCGGCGCGCCCCCGAGGGGGATGGGGAAACATGGGGAGGAAAGAGGAGGAACACCATCGTCGTCGTCGTCGTCGTCGGACGGGGAGTGGCGGAGGAGGAGGAGGAGGAATAAGGAGCGCCATCGTCGCCGATGTCAGGCGAAGAGCAGGGGTAGGAGGAGGAGGAGGGGTAGGAGGAGGAGGAGGGGTAGGAGGAGGAGGAGGAGGAGGAGGAGGAGGAGGAGGAGGAGGAGGAGGAGGAGGAGGAGGAGGATTCCCCTCGGTGAGAGCACCCTCGAGTCGATTGCAGCTGCCACCCAGCACTTGGAGAACAAACGTGCCACGTTTTGGCACCCGGTCCTTCGGCAAGTGGGGTATACGTCTGCACTTGGGCCCGGCTTTCCGGGCGCGCCTTGCCGTCCAGCGGAAGGTCGGCAGAAGCCTGGGTGAAGTAAGGGGTGCTTCCATGGACCTCCACCTTGCGCGCCTTTCGGACGCGCGGGAACGCTCTGGGAAGGCCGCGGCGCCCGAGCCACCGTATCTCAGAGATTCGCGAGTGACCCTCACCCGAGTTGGTCTTCGTCGTAGCCTCGTCGAGACCAGATCTCCTTTTCGGGCCTCGCGCCACGACCCTCCTCAATGTACGAGTTGAGCTGTGCCAGCACGCTACGGGTTGCGTGAGCCATATCGGGGCGGCTATCTTGCTTGCACCTCGTTCCCTTCCTCCCTCTCCGATCGCCGCGCAGCACAAGCTGCTCTGGGAGCCGGCGGAGGCGCGGCGAGGGAGAGCAATCCCCAGAGGTAGAGGAGCCTGCTCGTGGTCTGGGCTCGCTGCGGCCTCACGTATCGCACACATGCGATGCCATATTTTTTCTCGACCCTTTCACCGGGGCCGGTTGTTCGTCCAGAATTGTTGTTGTTGACGGCTCCGGGGCGCGCTACGGGCCCCCCATAGACCCAAAACGGCCACATTGCCCAGTCTTGATTTTTTCAGGCGCGAGCGTGTCTGGGATGGTATGCACTCGGGTAAGACGGCCTCAAGCAGAGCGGCGTCGGGTCCGCAGGCAGACGGCCAGCAGAAGGCGCTGGCGCGCCCGGGCTGGAACTGAGGGGCAGGCCTTCTCAGAAAGCGGCGGGGCTTCTCAGAAGCCCTCTGGCCTCCTGAGAAGTTTTCTCCGTCCTCGGAGGAGGCTCAGAAAGGTTCTGATGTTCCTACCTACCTTATCCTGGATCGCCAGGAAGAATTTCGAGCACCAGAAAAGAACCGAAACTCGAGGGTTTTCACGTGTCGGGCCTTGGGAGACACTCGTTCGTCACTGCTTCGACACTGTTTCGACACTGTTTCGAGACTTTGTCGACACTTTTCCAGGTGCTCGAAATTACTATTAGGATGTGGTCCTTAAGTACGATGGGAGCAGCATCATAAAAGGCCCGAGGCCTTCCGAGCCTTCTGAGAAGGCCCGCCCGTCGGGCGGGTGGTAATGGGGGGTGACCCAGATAAGGGTGAAGAGACCATTGACCTCCACCTTCCGATCCTTCCGCGTAGCAGTTGCCGCCACGGCGCGGCCACGGAGACCGCCGAGACCGCCGCCGCAGCCTCGACAGCGGCCTCGAGCGTGGCCGCTTTGGCGGCCGGCGCTGCGCGGCATCTGCCGTCCGGAAGGTGCGGAAGGTGGAGGTCCAGGGAAGCACCCCTTCCTTCCGCCAGTTCCGGCCGACCTTCCGCTGGAAGGCAAGGCGCGCCCGGAAATCAGGGCCAAAGTGCAGACGTATACGCCAGAGCGGCCTCGACGGTGGCCGCTCTGGCGGCCGCCGCTGCGCGGCATCTGCCGTCCGGAAAGTGCGGAAGGTGGAGGTCGAGGGAAGGGGCCCTCTTTTGCACCCCGCACCTAGGTCAGCCAAGCCCCCTTTGCATGCCCCCCCCCCTGGACTCGCCGCCGGGGAGCCGACGTAGTACCAGCTGCGCCACGCAGGCGCCAGCATCGACGTGAGCAGGCGTGTGCGGACCCTCGAGGAAGTCCGCCGTCGCGGCTGCTGGGCCCAGGCCAAGGGCATGCACGGGCACGGACACAGCAGCCGTCTGAGTGCAGAGTACGAGAGCGCCCCTCAGGGCCATCAGCGTCTGTGCGAGGCGTGCGAGACCAACTCACTGCAGATGCTGCTCGGGACTGGCTCACCGGTCCAACGAACGAATTCTGACCTGGCAGCTCCGCAGGCCAAGAAGCTGAGAAGGACCCATCGCGGCTGCCGAGGCAAGCGTTTGCCTGCCCAGAGATTCGGCGGGCTCTTTTGCAGGCAGCAGGTGCGTCTCACGTGCTGGAGCGAAACTCGGGTTTCGAGCTCGACGCTGGGATGTGGCTTGCGATCTAACGTGGCAGGACCTCTTGGATCCCAGAGCCCTGCGCCCGACTAGGCGCGACGCCCGTCGAGGGCACCTCCTCGCAGCTGGCATGGCCCCCTCGCCCCCTCGTGTCATACGTTTTTTTCCGCCCAGGATAGAACCGCGAAGATCGGGTCTCAAGAGAAACCGTCGGGCCTGCCCAAGGGTCTGCTCAGCCTGGGTGACAGGAATAAAGCCCGTCTCGGTGATCAGCTCGCTCATGCCGCCATAGGACTGCTGCCCTTCTCCACCAGTTGAAGATCCCAGCAGTCTTAGAGCACCGACTCAAATCTCGATTGCGTACGCCCGGAACCCAGGCCCTTGCGCATTTCCCCCACGTCATTTTTGCTGAATTGGACGATCTCTTATTCAACGCTCAGTACAAGAGGCCAACTTGTCTGATGATTGGCCATGTGGAAACCGATTACCTTAATAATGAGTGTGTACTATGTCGGGGTCAACATGGTATGTGCTCGCTCCCAGGGCGCCCCCGCCTTGAATTAGAAGGGAACGCCCGTGCCAGCTGCCGCTTATCCGCCAGAGCTCGCACACTATATAGTCCGAACCCTTGCGGCTTCGCGCGTGACCAAGTATGGGTACGAACCAGTTTTCCCCCTACCCATCCCTAGTGAACTCCCGAAGCCGGGAACCTTCGGGAGGAGCGAGAGTGCGCATTCAATTTTAACCTCTTGCCCAGACGTCTCGAGGCCGTCGTCAGGATCACGTCCCTGCCATTTGAAAGAAGAGTGGCTCTAGTTGTTCTTGCAAAGGTTTGCGCTTGATCGTTTTTCAATTTGGTGATGTGTACTTGTTCATAAGCCACCAGCTACACGATCCCGGGGATAGACATCGGAAGGCTTTCACTCATTTGCCCCCCCTCTTCCCGCTATGGCTTGTCTTCAGCTCCCGTTATCCCTCCCTTGGAAGAGCGAGAGTGCGCATTCCACTTCAACATATTGCTCTTGCGTTTCGAAGCTTTCGTCTGAATCCTGTCCCTGCCATGTGAGAAACAAGTTGCTCCAAACAGTGCTGCGGCCAATGTGACCTCGACGGGACAACCGGCTCGTCCCTGACCACGGGTGCGTGATGTAGTTCCGCTGCGAGGGCGAAATTCCTGCGCGCGGGGGCAGGAATTTCGGTCAGACACGTCGAGCATGACGCTTGGCAGATCGTCAATTGTATAGAAGCTAGGGGGGCTCCCCAGGATGCCCGTTTCCTAACGCTGCCATGTAGCTGGGGAGGTGCACTACAGGGGCGAGTCATCATCGTCTCCGTCAGGACTCGTCAAATAAAGTGGGCCGAGCGGTTTTACAGGTTGCCTGGGCACGTGGCCGAAGATGGGGGTCCGCTGTGCGGGTCTGCGCCGAGCTTGGCACCCCCTCGGGGAGGGCTGCATAGGGCCCGCGCTGGCGGCACCGTCGTGTTTTCGCTCACGAGCTGCTCTGTGCATGGGCCAGTCCTTATATATTCGCACACGTACGACATCGATGAGGCTGACAGGGCACAAGTTTTGCAACAGCGAAGGCTTCCGCGAGAGAGATGCGCAATTCAGGCCCCCCGACTCACGGCGGGAACCCCAAACATTTTGATCGGCTTCTCAGGAAGGGATTCGGGGCCAGAGGGTCCAATGAAGCATCGTCGGTGAGTCCTGGGTTTGCTGTGGCGATCATCCTCCTCCTTGTTCTCCTCCTCCTCCTCCTCCTCCTCCCTCTCCTCATCCCGCTCCTCCTTGACCTGCTTCCCCAACCAACCCCACCTGCCCCGACCTCTCCTCCTCCTCCTCCTCCTCCTCCTCCTCCTCCTCCTCCTGCTCATCCTCATCCTCATCCTCATCCTCATCCTCATCCTCATCCTTCTCCTCCTCCTCCTCTTCTCCCTGGTCCCCCTGCTGCTGCTGCTGCTGCTGCTGCTGCTGTTGCTGCTTCTCCTCCGCTCCCCCCTGGGGCTGGAGGTCCTGAAGCTCGCATTCGACAACACGTACAGCTACTTCACCGCCAAGCGGGTGGAGGTCAGGCTGAAGAAGGTGGCGCCTTGTCTCGCCGGCCGCCCTCGCGCCTGTGTGCGAAGACGAAACAAGCCACATAAACATAAACTTTTGGCGCTCCGCGCGGAGTTCTTGGATCCGCGCCGGAGACCCCCGGCGGCGCCTCCGGCGCCGCCCTTGGCGCGCTCCGTGCGCCAGGGAGTGGGGTCCGGCGCGAATCCAAGAAATTCGCGCGGGCCGCCAAAAGTTTATGTTTGTGTGGTTTTTTCCGGTTCTATGTGTGCTTGATTCTCGCACTTCCTCCCCACCCGGTTGTCTTCCTTGCTCTGGCGCTGCAGGCGCGAAGCACCAGTGCCTCCGGTGACCCTGGCCGTCAGCATTCGCTGAGGGAAAGGGGGGAGTCCTCCTCCCCCTCCCTCCTCATCCCCCCCCCGCCCTTTCGGAGAGCAAGAGACAGCGCAAGCACAGCAGCACAGGCACCGCATGTCGAAGGCCCGCGCCGCGGCAGGTCCCTCGCCCCAGGCGCCGCCAAGGGGTCCAACGCCGACCCACGACACCCGCGCGAACCTCTGAAGTTTTTTGCTCACGTGTCGCCTTGCATTGCTTTGCCAGTCATGCTCCCCTTGCCCTCGTCCCCCACAGGACCTCCAGCGCATTGAAAAGCGAGAACGGGCGATGATCCTGCTTCCTCCGTGCGATCGTCTTGCGGGGACCCTCGCCAGGCCCCAGGGCCGAGGCGAAACTGCTACGCACGGAGAGCCGGCACCGGGCAGAGGGCACGGCTTCCCGTGGCTTCTCTTCTGCTGGGGACGGGGTTCCGACACGAGGCAGGGGCTTTCGAGACCAAGCACCGCAGCCACGGCGGAGGGGCACCAGCCCGAGAGGGCTCGCCCAGGAGCGGCCAGTGCGCGACTGTCTTCGCGTCATGGCCACACGTGGGGTGCTGGCCCCGAGCGAGGCGGCGCAGCTTGTGTTCTGCCGCCGCGTTGCGTGGGACATCCGGGGGCCCGGGAGCGACACAATCAGCACCTGGGAGATATAGTCGAGGTTGATTCGTAGGTCGGCCCTGCCAAACCAAGGGTTCCTTGTGTGCCGTGTTTCGCGGCCCGTGCCTTCTTACGCTCCTACGGCAGCGTGGCCCTCTGAAGGGTCTTGTTCCTCTCGCGCGTCCTCTCCAAACGGCCCCGCCTGCATGGGCACCTGCGACTTGCATTTCCTTGTGCTCCTGCTCCTCATCACCCTCTCGCCCCCGACCCCCGGGGCTTCTCTCCCCAGGCCCGTTGCTTTCTCATCGGCGGTCGCCTGGCGGCCCGGCGGAAGGTGGATGAGGAGGAGGAGGAGGAGGAGGAGGAGGAGGAGGAGGAGGAAAGGGAGGAGGAGGAAAGGGATGAGGAGGAACGGGAGGAGGAGGAGGAAGAGGAGGAGGAGGAGGAGGAGGAGGCGGAGGAGGAAGAGGAGGAGGAGGAGGAGGCTGCGCCTGGGCCCAGTAACGGCGAAGAACCTCTACGGTCGGACCGAGCTGTCAGATCGAGCTATCGGCTCGGGGAGGGTACCCGGATGTTCTTCGTGCTTCTTGGATGTCGTTGTGCATCCTGGGGGTGCTCTCTGCGCGCGCGTTTGTCCTCCTCGTTCCTTCTCCTCCTCCTCTCTCCTCCTCCTCCTCCTCCTATCCTCTTCCGGCTTTTCCGCGTCTGCTCGTCACCCGTTCTCGCCGCTGGGCTCCCTCTGGATGTTCAAAAACAAGTGCATCCTGGGGGGGGGGTACCCTCGAATGCTCTTCAGCTTGGCCGGCGGAGGGGCTCATGGTCCTGAAGGATGCTCTTCTGTCTCAGGTCCGGCCGCAGGCCTCCAGCCCTGGAGAGCTTCCGAGGAGGTGCAAGCGCTGATGCCGCCCCCCGTCCCTCGCTTTCCCCTCTTTGGGGCCTCCTTGGAGCCCCTCGTCGTCGCCGCTGGATTCGCCCCAAAGTCCTGGCCCCTGTTGAGTTCCCCCAGAACTACCTGGGCTGCCTCACATCCGACCAGGATCTGAATTCAGAGGTCCTGGCGCGTTTTTGTTAGGCCTCCTGGAAGGTCAGGGTTCAGGGTCAGATTGTTTCAGCATCGTCCAACCTCTCGCCATCCCCACTGGGCCCTAGTACCTCCGCCCTACCAGCCAATCCCCCTGACGAGCCCTACCTACCTGCCGTGGTAGGCAGCTAGGTGGAGGTAGGCCCCGCGAAGCCCGAAGGGAACACCATGTATCCCCGCCTAGGTGTGTCAGTCGGCTAGTGGGGCCAGGGCAGTGCCAGCGGGGAGGGGGATCGGTTAAAGGCTGGTCACTGCTGCATGCCAATTCGCCCAGCCCCGACGAGGTCCCCGGCGCCGCCCCCAAGGCGATCCCCGCGCCCCGCGCGCGCGCGCCAGCGTGAGGCTACGCGGTTCGGATTGGGGTCGTCCAAGGGTGGCGAGGACGGACCTGTTCTCTCCGAGCTCTGATAGCAGACCATTCGCAGCGCGAGTTAAGTCGAGAAAACATCATCATGTCGAAAAAAATGGTGCAGTACAAATAGTTGCGCGGACTTAGTTTTTGTAGCAGACCGAGTTCAGACCTGTACATGCTGGAGACGAACGCGCCTGATAATTCTGGATCGATTAGGTGTGCATACCAGCTTTGTAGCGATCCTACAGCTCGAGTTAAGTGCAGAACACCAACAGCACCTATCAAGATGACTCGAACAGCGGATCCCGCCCACATGCTTTTTGGCAGTAATATGTACCCCATCGACCTGAGATTAAGATGGCGAGCGGAAATAAGATCGGAGATGGCGGGAAAAACATTAGAGCTGCAGCAGGGCCCATCTTGGTTGGGATCGAGGTCTGAAGTCTCCAAGTGGAAGTTCAAGGACCCCCTCATGGGCCGCTCTTGGGAGCCTTTTGAGAGTCTCCTGGGCCCCTCTTGGGAGCCTCGGAGGCTCTCTCTTGGGCCTCGGAGGCTCTGACTTTTTGCAGATGTTCTGTGCCTTTGCTTGCCGCCGCCTTGGACGCTAAGCGGATCACATGGCCGAGTGCGTGAACTCTAGGCTTCCTAGGTGGGATCGGAGTAGATGTGGTCGGAGGGTCGCGCCGCATCGCCGATGCATCGCCGATGCGGCTCGATGTGGGGCCCGAGCTTCACTTCGACTTCGCCGATGCATCGCCGACGTCGGCGATGCATCGCCAGTGCATCACCGATGCATCGTCGGTGCATCGCCGATGCATCGGCGATGCGGCGCGATCCTCCGAAGCAATCTACTCCGACCCCATCTAGGCGGCCTCCATAAACGAAGGTGCGTCGGTGAATGTGTCCTCTTGGGCCCGCCCCAGGGCCTCGAGGACGGCCCAAGAGGCCACCAGGAGAGCCCTAGGACGGCCCCCTCGGGCCTCCGGAGTGTTTCGGAGCATATTTGAAGGTCTTTTGGAAAGCTACTGCGGTAGGTTGGAGTCGCTTTGGACAGGTGTGGCTTCCCTGAGGCCGGCGGGAGAGAGGCCACAAGCGCGCAGGCATTCTGGCACATCTTTTGGGGCCTTGGAGCACTCCACTACGCGAGCTAAAGCCACGGTGGCGAATCATGATGGGTCTGTTTTCTGCCGCCACCACCACCATAAGTTGGAGCGGGGAAGGAGGAGGAGGACGAAGAGGAGGAGGAGGAGGAGGAAGAGGAGGAGGAGGAGGAGGAGGTGGAGGAGGAGGAGGAGGACCCTCTTCCCCTCCAACGTATGGTGGTGGTGGTGGTGGAAAACAGGCCCATCAAGTCAGGGGCCGCACGGTCAGGAAGTTTTGCTCAGCGCGTGGCGCCGCCAGTGCCAGCCCACCACGAGCCCCCGCAGCGCCCTGCGGGGGCCCCCCGGAGGCAGCGAAGCCAGCATGCCCAAGGGCACAGCTGGTCTGTAGACGTTTGCTGGACGTGAGGGTGTCTCCCTCCCTCCCGCCTCCCGCCCTCGACCCCCTGGGCTTCAGTCGGGCGTGTCCCTCTACAGGGGGAACATTCAAGAATAGTCCAGAAATAATGCGGGGACGATTTTTGGAGTACTTTTTGAGCATCTTTGGGCTATTGTTGTACGACTTTTCCCAAATCCGCTTGTATGGGGGACATGCCCGACCGAACCCTGGGCCCTCGATGGGACTGCGGGGCGGGGGGGGGGCAGTCGGACGGGGCTTGGGGGGGGACGGGGCAGTCGGACGGGGCCGGGACGAGGACCAATCCGTTCCAAAGCGTTCCAGAGCGCTCTGAGTCAGAGCGGTCCGAAGCGCTCCGAGAAGGCCGCGGCGCCCGAGACATCCTCCAGAGCCGCCGGATCTCAGAGATCCCCACATGTATCCTCACCAGGTTTTAGCCTCGTCATGGCTTTTCGTCTTGGGTGGGGCGCGGGGGCACTGTCGACCGCCGGCGACAAGCTGGTGCAAGAGTCCGCGGAGCTGCAGGGCGCCGTGCTCACTCGCCGCCCCGTCTTGGAGGGGGGGGGGGAAGTCGGCGAGCCGCCGTATAGCTCAGGTACGGTGGAGGCGTTTGTTGAGGAATAGTCCCAGGAGACGCCAGACCCTGGAGGATTCCTTAGCCATTGAGGGCGGCGGTGGTATTCATGGCCGATCCACGATTGGCGTTCCTCTGGCTTCCAGACCCCGGGTTCCTTATCTAAGGGTTCCTTATCCAATGCCCCCACCGTGTCCTCCATCTACCCTCACCCGACTCGTCTCCTCGTCCTGGCTCCGTCTTCGGCCAGGCCACCCCGCAGGGGCGGGGGGATCCCGCGGCGCGGAGGGGCGCGCGCGCGCGCGCTCCCGCCGCGCCCCGCGCGGGGGGGGGGCGGGCGGGCAATGGATGCGCTGAAGAAGGGCGCGGCGAAGGCACGCTGGGGCCTCCCTGCTCTCTCGGCCTCCTGCTTCCTCCTCCTTTCGGGGCGAGCGACATGGGGGCGGTGGGGCCGAGGTAGCAGATCGAGGTCGGGTCGGGGAAGGTACCCTGATGTCAGCGGTGAGCGAGCGGGGGAAGTGAGAAAGAAGGCCCTCTCAGAAGGCGGCGGGACTTTTCGGAAGCCCTGGCGCCTTCTGGGAAGTTTTCTGCGTCTTCGGGGAAGGCTTAGCAAGCTTCTCAGAAGGCCGGAGGACATTCGAGCCTTCTGAGAAGGCCCGCCTCTTCTCACTTCCCCCCAGGCGAGCCGCCGATAATGTTCTCCGTGTCTTGAGGAGGGTACCTTTGGCTGTTTTTTCTCGGTTTTGGCTTGCGGAGGGTCTCGTGTTCTTGAAGGATGTTTTTCTGTCCCAGGTATGGCTGCACAGAAAGGAGGGGTACAAAGACCGACGGCGGTGTCCATTCATTTTGAACAGGACTCGTTGCCGGTGTCGCCGCGGACTGTGTCCATTTGAGACAGGAGGCCGCATGCCCAACAGCGGCCGCTCTTGGTTTTGGACAACAATTGTCGTTGGGCCCCATAGCCATTTCTTCCGTACCCATTTTGGGCAGCCAACATTTTCCCCACCCCAGCCGAATGTGTCGACCAGAGGTGGCTGTCTCGGTGCATGCTAACCACGCACCTCATCCACCAATACCAGGTGCCGACAATGGTCCTTGCACAGGCCCTGGGACTAGAAGGCGTGTCTGCCAAGCCTTCACGAGCACCCCCTCCAGGAGGGGAGAGTCCATGTGTCATGGCGCCAGCATCGCAGAGCGGATTTCGTTCGGAAAACGATAGGATGGGCCTGGAGTGTCCTGGAGAATTTCGTTCCGGATTTCGAGGTGAATTCCGTGCGGATTTTGGTTTGGTCAGGAATGAAGACCAAACAGATTCCACGCGAAAGTCACTTCGTTTTTCGCTCGCCGCTTCGGGCAACAATCCACGCAAAAATCCACGCAGAAATCCGCTGCAGCACGTCTGCAAGGCTGGCGCAATGACATGTGCCCCACCTGACTTGGCAGGGTTATGCTTGCCCTGCCCTCAAGGGCATGTGTCGGGACCTCGCAAAGGGGGGGGGGGGCAAAGGGGGGGGAGTTCGATCCGTTGGCGCATCGAACCGCAGAACAACTATGCAAAACGAGGCCTCCGGCCGCCGCCGGAATCCGAGAGCGTCGACAATCGGGGCTCGCGGGGGCATCGTTTTTCGTGCAGCAGCGGATCGAACTTTCCCCCCCCCTTCAGGATCCCCCCCCCTTTGGTGGGCCCCGAATGTGCACTGCCCCACAATCCCTTCCGCGCCCCTCCGCCCCGTCGGCTGCGCTGGGCAGCGAGGCGAGGCGGCCCGTCCCTCGCCGTGCTGCTGCGGCCCGCGGCCACCGCCAGAGGCAGCACTGTCGCTGCCTGCCGTCGCTCCCGCCCTGGCCTTGGCCGCCGGCGCTCGGAGCTGGATCCCAGCCTTCTCCAGCGGTTGTGATGTTCCAACCTACTTCGGCCTTGATCGCCAGACAGAATCTCGAGCACCAGAAAAAGTGCCCAAGCTCGAGGTTCTTCACGTGCCGCCCCCCGGGAGACTCTCGTCCGACACTGCTTCGACGCTGCTTCGACAGCCGCTCGACGCTTTTCAGGGTGCTCGAGATTGGTTCTGGGATGGGGTCCTGAAGTGCGATGGGAGCAACAAAGTCCCCAGACCCCCGACGTAATGATAATTTCATTACGCGACCCCCAGAGGTCCGGATCTATTCGCAGGCACCGGTTTTTCATCCTGAGTCGTTCTTCGACGGTCCCGAGGGCCGGTAAGGGCCTCCAGAGGCCGAAAGCATAGAAAAACCTTCCGTCGTGATTTGTTCATGATTCGAGGGGGTCTGGGTGCGAAGGCAAGGGGGACGTCCGAGCCTTCTGAGAAGGCCCGCCCCTTCCCGCTATCCCCCCCGGGCTCGCCGCCGCTCCTCCTTCCACGCCCCTCCTCCTCCTCTGGCTGCGCTGTGCAGCCAGGCGGGGTGACCCGTCCCTCGCCGCGCCGCTGCGGCCCGCAGCCACCGCCATGAGGCTGCACCGTCGCCGCCGTCACCCCCGCCGTGCACGCGCCGCCGCCGTCTGGACCCGGATCTGTCGGCTCGCCGTCGTCGGTCGTCATTGGGACCCTCTCGCTGCCCTCCGCCTCTTCGCCAACAGGTCCAGCGATCACACCACATCGGTGCTGGGCTCCTCCTCCTCCTCCTCGCCTCCTCCTCCTCATCATCATCATCCTCATCCTCCTCCTCATCCTCATCCTCCTCCTCTTCCTCCTCCTCCTCATCTCCCCCTGTGGCGAGGCCGAGCGTTTGGTACCCGGGGGACAACAGCCAAGGGGATCGAGTGTTGCAGGACGGGGAGGGGCCTGGAGGGGCCGCTTGAGGCCCCGAAGGTGCACGAGAGGCGTACGGAACGACAACAGAACGTTGGTCCACGCGCCACGGTCCATCGCCAAATGCGCTGGGGTGAGGAGGGGAAGGAGGAGGAGGGAAAATGAGGAGGAGGAGGAGGAGGGAAAATGAGGAGGAGGAGGAGGAGGAGGAGGAGGAGGAGGAGGAGGAGGCCCCCGCGCTCCCACAACCCTCCTCGAAATCAAACGCAAGCTTGCAATACTGATCGGCTCGCGAAACGCCTCCTGCGGGGTCGGATGTTTGTGTTTGTGTTTGCAGTCGTCAGTGTCGGCGCGGGCACTGAAGTTCTGGGGGGTGGGGGCGCCGCAACGTCGTGGGAAAATCTGCGTTTGCTTTCGAGGGGGGATGCAGGGCCGAGGTCCTGGCCAAAGCATTGTGGCGCATCCCCCCCCCGCTTCACGATCCCGTAAAAAAAAACTGCGGCAGGGCTCTGCGTTCCCGCGGCTTCCGCCTTCTGCAGCACACGGATGATGGGCCCGAGCCCCAATGGCAAGGACCGGCGATCAGACTTTCGATCTTCGCTCCAGGCTCGTGGGCCTTGGAAGTCTGGTAGGCACGTCAAGGAAGAGAGATTGCCCCCGATTGCCCCAGGGACCCGCGGGAGCTCTGGGGCGCCTCGGGGCCCTCAGCGGTCGACGAGGAGTGTGCCCAAGAGTCCTTGCAGCAAGGCTTCGCGTCGCGTGTGTCCGCGGTGCACGACGGGCCCCCGAATGCCACAGCCTCCCGCGCAACGCCAGGGGCCAGCGTGCGTTGCCCCGCTGGGATCCCGCACGCCGAGGGCGCCGCGGGCAGCCGCCGCGCCCCGAGCGGCCCTGCGCCTCGGGAGGGCTGCTCGGTGCGGAGGCGGAGTGGGCCAGGGGCACGGGCAGGTTTGGCTGCAACTCCAGCGAGGTCAGACTCGGTGTCGGCGCCGGTATGTCAGTGGTCGATAAGAAGAAGAGGGGGATGGGGGGGAGGAGGAGGAGGAGGAGGAGGAGGAGGGGGGGGGGGGGGACGAGGAGGAGAGGAGGAGGAGGAGGAGGAGGAGGAGGAGGAGGAGGAGGAGGAGGAGGAGGAGGAGGAGGGGGGGGAGGGGGCGGAGGAGGAGGAGGAGGAGGAGGAGGCGGAGGAGGAGGAGGAGGAGGGGGAGGAACGGTGGTGGCGTTCGTTAAGGAATGCGCCCAGGGGGGTTCAGACCCTGGGGGGTTCCTTATCTGATAATGGCGGCGGCCATATCCATGGCCAGTCCACGATCGAGATTCCACTGGCTTCGAGACCCTGGATTCCTGATCCACTGGTTCCTTATCCAATGCCCCTACCGTAAGGCAGGCGCCTGCGTCCCATCTGATTCCGCCCGCTCCCGCGCAGTCTTGCCCAATTGAGTTCCATCCTTGGCTAAATCCGGCCCGGCCTCCTCCGGCTCGATAGCCCATAAGTCCGGCTCGATGACCCTGAATCGTTCACCCAAGAGTTGCCTCCTAAGGCAGGTCAGGCGGGGCTAGGACGAGGATAAGTCCGTTCCAGAGCGTTCCGGAAAGCTCTCAGAGCGTCCCGGAACGCTCTGAGAAGGCCGTGACGCCCGATCCATCCTCCAGAGCCGCCAGATCTCAGAGATTCTCCATGTATCCTCACCCAGTTTTAGCCTCGTCCTGGCTTCGTCTTAGGTGGGGCGCGGAGGCCCTGTCGACCGCCGGCGACAAGCTGGTGCAAAAGTCCGCGGAGCTGCAAGGCGCCATACTCGCTCGCCGCCCCGTCTTTGAGGGGGGGGGGGGAAGGTGGCGGGTCGAGGCAAGGCGAGTCGGGTGGCGAGGAGAGGGAGGTGGGTGGGGGGCGAGGCGAGGGGAAGGGCAGGGGCAACGCTAACGTTTTCGTCGCTTCTCGGCGGTTTTCAAGCCCAGGGGTGCTCTTCCGTCAGCTGCGCCTCGCCGAGGGCATTCCAGGCGTGCCCACATGGTCCCGAACGTACGCCGGAAAGGCGAGCTATGACCCGAAAACTAGGGGCAGCGTCAGGGGTGATGAGCTCACAAAGGGAGGCGTCGACCCCGATCGCCAACTCATCGTTTCTCCTCCTGGGCAGGTCTTTCCCCATTGTTCCCCGCCAGGAAGGTAAAATACAGTTCGACTGTTTGTCCTGCGTCGGCGGTGAGGCAAGATGGCGAGCGCTAGATCTGCGCATGCAACCGCAGTGCTCAAGCTGTATTTCGGGCGAACGGCATGTCAAAGCGCAGGTAATTACACAGGGAAGTGCTCACGCTGCAAACGGGGTTGAGACCTTGCGCTCATTCTCCCCTCACGCTTCCTTATCCCCTCTCTTCCTCCTCCTATTTCTCCTTCTCAGTCCTCCTTCTCTACCCCTATTGTGCTGCTCCTCCTCGCCTCTCTTTCACCTCCTCCTTGAGCTACGGGATCTCCTCGCTAAGCCTTTCCCGTCCTCCTGGTCCTCTCCTTCTCCTTCTCCCCTCCTTGCACTGGAACGTGGAGGTCACCGAGAGCGTTGCCAAACGACGCCCGCATGGCCCACGGCGCCGCTGGACAGTCCAAAGCTGTGATTGGGCCCCGGCCCCGCCAGCGTCTTCCGTCCTCTCATGTCCCTCCCCTCCTCATCCTCATCTTTCTGTCCTCCTCCACACCTTCGGTGCTGCCGTCGACGCCCTCCTATCCACTTCCCCCCTGCGGCCGCGAACACGACAGGAAGATGACGACCCGGGATGAGGAGGGGGGGCGAGACCATTGGGTCGAATGCAAGGGGAGGAGGATGGGAAACGGGCTTCGTCACGAAGTCTGCTGCTTTCAGACGCGCACATTCCTTGATGCACTGTGGCTGCCGTCGCTGGGAGGGGCCAGAAAAGTCGGCGGCGATTGCAATGGGTGTGATTACGCGGGGGTGTGGTTTGCGATCGGCGCCGTCTGGGCGTAGGGGTCACCGTGTTGCGCCAAAGGTTTGATGAGCCCTCGTCGGGGCGCGGCAGGGATCGCTGTTGAGGTCCTCGCTCGGCCCCTCCCACCCACCCACCCGGCGCGGGATGCAGACCACACCAGGCGGAGGCGCCAGAAGAAGCAGAGGCGCGCAGCCGTGTCGTCGCTCTCCCCCCGTGCGTGCTGCCGATGGCGACGACGATGGCGGTGACGATGCTTGTGGGATGCTGAGCGTGCTCCGCACTCGTGACTGTGGCATCGGGCTCGCCCAGCGCTTTGGCGAAGCTGGGCCATCGTCATCGTCATCGTCGTCTTAAGTCGGGCCTGTCCCTCTACAGGAGGCATGTATCCAAGAAGAGTCAAACAACTAGTCTGGGAACTATGTTTTGACTATGTTTGAGGATGTTTGGAGTATTTTTGGAGTATTCCGGATTTTTCGTCCAAAGCCCGCCTGTAGGGGGACACGCCCGACCTAAGGCCAGTTGCGATTAGCGTCGGGCCTCCCCAAGGCTCGGTCTCGGGCCCCGGGTCCCAAAGGGCAAAAGGCACGGCCCACGGCGCGAGGCCTCCGTGCCAGGGGCGGGGTCGAGGCCTCTGGAGCCCTGCGTGCGGCTCCGGGGTCACGTTGAGGAGATGGGGGGCGATGCTGATGATGCTGCTGATGATGTTTGGTGGTGGTGGCGATGCTGATGTTGGCGGTGGTGGCGATGGTGATTCTGGCGATGATGATAGTGATGGTGGTGCGATGGTGGTGATGATGCTGTTGTTGATGATGGCGATGGTGAGAAAGGGGATGATGATGATGATGATGATGATGATGATGATGATGATGATGATGATGATGATGATCATGATGATGTGATTATGGTGGTGATTGCGATGCTGATGCTGATGGCGATGATTACGATGATGATGGTGATGATGAGATGATTGTGATAATGCTGCTGATGATGCTGATGTTGCTGATGATGACATCGGTGATGCTGATGACGACGATGATGATGACGACGATGGTGATGACGACGATGATGACGACAATGGTGATGACGACGATGTTGCTGATGATGATGACGATGATGACGACTGCGATTATGACGAAGATGATGATAATGATGATGATGCTGGCGACGATAATGGTAATGACGATGCTTCTGACGACGATGATGTTGATGACGATAACGATTGATGATTATGCCAATGATGATGATGATGATGATGTTGATGATGATGATGAGGTTGATGATGATGATCCAGATGAAGGCGAGGGTGACGATGATGACGACGATGGTGATGACGGGATGACGATTATGAAGATGATGTTGATGATGGTAGTGACGACGATGATGATGATGATGATGATGACGACGACGACGGCAATGATGCAGATTATGACGACGATGGTGACGACGACGATTACGATGACGACGACGACGATCATAATGATGGTGGTGACAGTAAGTATCATGTTGGCGGCGACGATGGTCAATATGATGATGCTGTATGCTGATGATGACGACGATGATGGTGATACAGATGACTACGACGACGATGCTGATGATGTCGACGACGATGATGGTGATGATGCGGACGGCAACGCTGATGATGACGACGATGATAGTCATGAAGGTCACGGTGAGGATGATGATGTTGATGATGGTGATGATGATGATGATGATGATGATGATGATGATCAGGATGACGATGACGATGGCGACGATGATGATGATAATGCTGATGATGATGCTGATGCCGGTGCTGGTGATGCTGATGATGATGATTCTTCAATGATTATGGTGTTGGTTGTGGTGGTGGCTGCGGTGGCTGATATGAGATGATGACGATGATGGTGATGCTGATAATGTTTATGATGATGATGATGAAAATGATGATGATGATGATGATGATGATGATGATGATGATGATGATGATGATGATGATGATGATGATGATGATGATGATGCTGAGGATGATGATGCTGCTGATGATGATGCTGATGTTACAGATGGTAGTGATGATGCTGATGGTAATGGCGATGCTCATGCTGAGGACGATTTCCCAGGGTGCTGATGATGGTGGTCATGACGATGATGTCCATGCTGCTCTTGATGATTTCGGGTGGTGATGTTTCTGATGATGATGAAGATGATGCTTGTTGATGGTTGCGATATGATGCTGGTGAGTATGACGATGATGGTGTTGACGATACTTTCTGATGGTGGTGATGGTGATGATGCGTTCTTGCGGAACGCATCATAACCATCAGAGAAACATTAACACCATTGGGTGGGAAGATGGAGCTTCCGGCGGTTTCCCAGCCTCGGGGTGCCTTCTAGCGGCTGCGCCTCGCCGAGCGCATTCTGGGGATGCCTAGATCCTCCCGAACGGCCGCCAGACAGGCGAGTTATGACCCGAGGATTAGGGGCAACGCTGGGGCGTGGGGGGGGGGGGGAGAGGCCCAGGGGGGGAATGCGTCGGCCCGCAATCGCCCATCCATCGCGCCGACGAGGACTTGAGCGCCCGCCCCGCCCAGGAACGCGCGGCTTCGCCGTCGAGCGCCCATCGCCGATCCATTGACGCTGAAGCGCCGATTCCAGCTCGACGTTTCCTCCCCGCGGCCAGTCCCCCCCCCTGTCGTTGTCCCTCCGCGGCAGGCTCGTGTCACGCCGTCGCGGCGGCGACCGAAGTTTGGTCGGGGGGGCCCGTCTCGCCAACACCTTGCTCGCCTCCAGGGTGCCCTGGGTGTGTTGAGTTTGGATGGTTTTGCGGTGGACAGCGGGGCGCCCCCACGCCAAAAACCATGGACGTCTTTGGGTCTCAGGGTTGGGTTGCTCGTGGACGGTTTCTTGTGGTCGAGCTCCTCTATTGTAATCTGGCTGAGTCCCGCTACACCTGGCTTTGTCCTGGGCCACATCTGGCGCAACCCAGCCCGAGGGTTTTACATGATGGGCCGACCTGACCATAGGCAGGAGAGGGAGGAGGAGAAGGAGGAGAAGGAGAAGCAGGAGGAAGAGGAGCAGGAGGAAGAGAAGGAGGAGGAGGAGGAGGAGGAGGACCTCCCCATCCTACATACGGTAGTGGTGGTGGAAAATAAATGAGTCCGTCATAACAATCGAGCTCTCAAGGCCTCGAGTCGTTCCCACGAGGGCTTCCCTCGGAGGAAGGGCAGGCGACGTCTACACCACCAGGGGGCCCACCCCCAACGGGGGAGTCCACCCCTGGCGAGGGGGCCTAAGATGCCTCCCCGAGCTGGGGACGGGAGATCTTTCGAGCGAGAGGGGGGGGGGGGGCACACCGCCAGGAGGGCCCTCCCTGGCGCCCTGCGCTGGTGGTGGTGGCATCGTTCCCTGCCCCGTCTCCCAGGGGCCGCTTCCCGACCCCCCCCCCGCTCACCGTCTGCCTGCCCCTCCGCGGCCCGCCCGCGCGCCCCCCACCCCCCTCGACCCCCTCCTTTCTCCCCCTCCTTCCTCATTCCTCCTCCCTCCTCCTTCCTCTCTCCTCCTCCCTCCTCCCTCCCTCCTCCTCCTCCCTCCTCCTCCTCCCTCCTCCTCCTCCCCCTCCTCCTGCTCCTCCTCCTCCTCCTCCTCCTCCCTCCTCCTCCTCCTCCTCCTCTTCCTCCTCCTCCTCCTCCTCCTCCTCCTCCTCCCTCCTCCCCTCCCCTCTCCCTCCTCCCTCCTCCCTCCTCCCTCCTCCTCCTCCCTCCTCCCTCCTCCCTCTCCCTCCTCCCTCCTCCCTCCCTCCCTCCTCCTCCCTCCCTCCTCCTCCCTCCGCCTCCTTCCTCCTTCTCGCCCCGCGGCGCGGACCGCCCCGCTGCGCGGAAGGCAGCAAGGCCGCCGCGGCGGCGGCGGCTGGGCCCCAGCCCTTCCGAGGCCGCGGGCCGCCCCCGCCTCTGCGGCCATGCTCGCCGCCCGCCCGTCCGCCCAGAGGGCACCCGGGGGCCCCAAGAGGGGAGAGACCCGCGACGCGGGAGGCTCCCCCGCACCGGGCGCTCCAGGCTGGGAGGAGGCCGGCGGGAGGCCGGCGGGAGGCCGGCGGCAGTGAAGCGTGCGTCCCCAAGCGATGGCAACCTTTCTGGGGTCGGGGTTTTGGGAGCCCGCCTCGTGTGCGTGCTTGTGTCTGGCCCTTGCCGTTCTGCGACTGCTTGAGTTTTTGTTTCTCTGTGCGTCATGGTGCATCATGGTGGGATCCCCCTCCCATCAGTTGGGGAGCCGGCAGCTTGCATCATCAACAGATGCGCGTGCTTGCGCACGAACAGGTGCGTGTGCGCGGCGGAGACTGATTACCCACGGGCTCACAAGAGCGAGTCTGTAATCGATACCATCAGGGTATGAGGTATGAGTGACTCTGACTCAGCACGCGTTCACCTGGGTATCTCTAGCAGTCTGTCCGATCCCGACTAAAGCGTTCCATTGCTGGCCCGGGCGTGGAGAAGATGTGGGTATGCCTGCAAGTTGGTCTGAATATGGGCGGGTCTGGGGTCTGGGTACGAGTGGGCCTGGGTGCGATCCGAGTACGAGTGCGTCTGAGTATGATTGACTCAGCATAGTATCCTTCGGCCCCCACGGGGTTCCCAGGCTCACCGAGCACCCCTGGGGCTTGCTGGGGACTCCTGCGACCTCTGTGGCATCATGGTGCCTCCTAGCACCTCCTGGGGCTGACTGGTGCATACTTCGGCCTCCCGCCTCTTTCTGAAGATTCCGGGGGACCCGTGGGGCATCCTTGGCCCTCCTGCTGCCTCCCTGCCTCTGGTTGGTCGGGAGGGTTGAGGGAGACGGGCGTGTGTGTGGCGAACGCTAGACAGAGCTGACGACAGATGCCCCAGCGCCCCGAGGGTGTGTCCAACCAGCCTCCTCGGGCCGACTCCAAGTAAGGATGACCGTTCGCCGAAGTGACCTTTTGGTGCGGGCAGTGCAGCCCACGTGCGAAGGGAATCACCATGGACACCTGGCACCGGACGACCCAGGTGGCAGGCCAAGATCAAGAGCATCACCAACGGCTTAGGGGTTTCTGCGAGGATGCGTGGAGGAATGCAAGGAGAACCTGGCGAAAGCTGGTGACCAGCACGCAGAAACTCCCGTATGGCATCTTGCAGCAGAGACAGCACCCAGATCAGCAGCAACCCGGAAGTGCGAGGAGGCCCCTCCCAGCCACTTGCTGAGCAAGCGTGTACCTGGACGCCAGAGAGCCTCGTGGCCATTAGCCCCGGCATCGAGTTTGATGACGGCGAGGAGGAGCCGCCTGAGGTGCGAGAAGGGCACGGGGGAGACGAACGTCGAGAGGGGCAAGCTGACGGGACGAACATTTTCCAGCAGACGGTGATGGCCGTGCCCAAGACATTCGACAGGGTCTTTGCGCCCAGATCTCATTGAGTCTGCGCGGGAAGCCGAAGAAAAAGGAGACTTTCGACCGCCAGCTGAGCAGCGCACTGGAGACAAGAAACATTACTAGGATGTCGTGTAGATGAGCAGCGCGTAGCCTGCTGCGGAGCTGGCACGTCGACTGCGTGCCCTACGCCCTAGTTGCCTTGCAGACGCCGACTTACCAACCCCTGTTCAACGAGCCCCCAGGCCAGAACAGGCAACAGCGACAAAGACGAGCAGCATCTGCAGGCACGATCGACCAAGCATCTGGTTTAGCATCTGCCATGAGGTCGACAGGCACTGACGAGCCGAGGGCGGGGCGAGGCTGCTCGCCAGCGACAGGAGGCAGAGAACTTCGTGGGCGGCCCCACGACGAGGTCAGCAGCCTAGGCCTGCAGACGCGTAGATAGCGTGCCAGGCCAGAGGCTAGCCACGGCAGCGCCCGAGGAGACCAGGGCAGTGCTAACACAGGAGCTAGCCAGTGCAGCGCCAGAGGAGACCAGGGCAGTACAAGGCCAGAGGCCAGCTGCGGCAGCACCCAAGGAGACCAGGGCAGCGCCAGGGCAGCCCGCAAGAGGAAGGCGCACGGCGAACCGTGGCGCGCAGGCCACCAAACGCGAGAGGAGGTCGCCAGGCCAGAGGCCAGCCGAGGCAGCGCCCGAGGAGACCAGGGCAGTACCAGGCCAGAGGCCAGCCGAGGCAGCGCCCGACGAGACTAGGGCAGTGTCAGGGCCATCAGCCAGAGGAGGACGTGCGGCGAGCCGAGGCACGCTGGCCTTGCAGCCGTCCATCAGACTCTTCCTCGAACTCTGAGGCCTGCGGCCGTGCCTGATGAGAGAGGTGGGCTCTGAGGAGTCGCCTCGGCAGGCGAGAGGCGTGCCGCGGAGCGGTCTGCCCAGAGGCGCGCGGGGCCCGCTCTGTGCGCCCTGCAGAGCAGCTCACACCCTCGGTGCGGCCCCCAGCATGGTTGTTAAACTTTGTCGCCGTTATCAGCGTGATCGTCGGCCTCTCTTGTGGCACCAGCTTTCGCTTGTGAAGGATCCCGTCGTACTCAGACCAGCGCCTCCGCGCCCGAGCTTGTGGGATTGCCCGTCGCGTCCCCACGATCGGCGCAGCTCTCGCCTGATGATGGTACATTTGGGGGGAAGGCTTGCCATCGCCATCGACATTCATCGCGGCAAAAAGCGTTGTTAGTATTCAGCTCCTGGGGTATCAACTTCAGCATTAAGGCTGGCAATTTCCATCGCCGACAGTCGGCCTGGTTTTACATAGTTTCGCTTAGTTCAGCTTTATCTGGCGTAGCCCAGCCTACTCGGACCGAATCTTGGGCTTAATCTGATCTGCTCTGCTTAGGTTACCCTTCAACAGGGCTGAATATTGAATCCCCATGGCTCGTTTTTACGAGGACCTCCCAGGAGTTGCTCCCGAAGGGAAGCCTTGCCATCACCGTCCGCCTTCCTCGCGGCAGAGCGCATTGAGCCACCAGCTGGGGCCGCGATTCCGATTCGACTCGGTTCGCTTCGGTTCGATGCATTGGCACCGGTTGGGGCCAGCCGGAGCCAGGCGCAGCAGTCCGCTGTCGAGTCGGGTCGGGGCGGTTCGCTGGCGACCCGATCCTTTGTTCCGATCCCGGCCGACTTCGCAGTTCGACCCGGTTCAGGCTTGCCTCCCTCGGAGGCAGGGCGTATCGAGCCGGCCCCCCGCCGCTGCCCTGAGAAAAAAAGAGAAAGAGACAGAAAGAGAGAGAGAGAGAGAGAGAGACAGAGACAGAGAGAGAGAGAGAGAAAACAAAAAAACAAAAGCGGCCGACAGCCACATGCCCGAAGTGCGGCTCGCTCAACGAGCTCGCGTTCTCCGGGGCTGCGACGGCAGCCGCCCCGCAGCCCAGCTGTTACGTTTCGCTCTCCTCCCCCTCCTCCTCCAGTGCCAGTGGGGGGGTAGCAATAACGAGAAAGAGGACATGTCAGGCATCGCTCGGACGTGTTCATGTTTCTCGGCGCGGACTATAGCATCCATGATCGTCTTGCGAAAAAGGAGCACGACACCGATCAAAGCACAAGGAATAGACCTCCGAGCGGTGGCAAGGCAAGAGAGAAGACAGGAAGGACCAAACGGCGGACGCGACGTGCACCAGGAGAGAGGGAGGAGGGGAGGGCGGCTGTCTGTGGCGGCGCGAGGGCGTGCTCGTGTGGAGACGGCCTGGTGGCTCTTCGTCGTCGTCGTCGCCCTCATCCTCCGGATCCAGTGGTGCCGTGCCCGGGCGATTTTCACTGAGGGAGGCAGGAATTGTCCGTCAGACCGCTGAGGCGGAACGGCGGGCGTTTGTATCATTGTGGTTCGCCTGTGGATGGCCTCCCCGTGCGTTGGCGGGACGGCCTGCTTGAAGGGCAGCGGACTCAGTTCTCTCGTTTGTTGCTGTTCCACGCTTCTCTTCTCGGATCGTCATCCTTCCTTTGCCCGCCCTTCCCTTGCTGTTCAGTGTCGCCGATGCGAGGATTATTGTTGTTGTTTTGTTGTTGCTTTGTTGTTGTTTGCTGCTGTTTTGTTGCGTCGTTCCCCCTCCCCGCTCCGCGACCCGCCCGCGACCCACCCGCGACCCACCTGCGACCCACCCCGCGACCCACCCGCGACCCACCCCGCGACCCACCCGCGCGACCCACCCGCGACCCACCCACGACCCACCCCGCGACCCACCCGCGACCCACCCGCGACCCACACCACGACCCACCCGCGACCCACCCGCGACCCACCCCGCGCCCGCCCCCTCACTCTTATCCGCAATTGCGGGGTGCTACGTATCCACTCCAAAATAATCACCCCGGCAAGCGAAGCCGTTTAGCAAACGCATACAAGGAATGAATCGAAAAGGGCACGGCTGTTTAGTCAACGCCTAGGGCCGTTTAGAAAACGTCAATTGTCGGGTCCGGGTTGTTTTTCTTCCCTTGAGGGTGGGTCGCGGGGTGGGTCGCGGTTGGGTCGCGGGGTGGGTCGTGGGTGGGTCGCGGATGGGTCGCGGATGGGTCGCGTGGTGGGTCGCGGATGGGTCGCGGATGGGTCGCGGATGGGTCGCGGGGTGGGTCGCGGATGGGTCGCGGGGTGGGTCGCGGGTGGGTCGCGGGGTGCGTCGCGGGTGAGTCGCGGGGTGGGTCGCGGGGTGGGTCGCGGGTGGGTCGCGGGGTGGGACGATGACAACAAACAACAACCACAACAACAACAGCAACAACGCAACAAGCAGAATTCTCACCACGAATTCCGTCTTCAGCCACGCACCCAGGGATAATGAATGACTGGTCGGCCCCCTCACTCTGATATCGTCTGTTTTGTTCCTTGTCCTGCTCCGTCGCTATCCCACCACTCCTTGTTTCCTGGACCTCCATCCCAGTTGCTGCCACTGTTTTCATCAGACTCATCCTCGCGCCTCCCTCCCCGACCCCCTCCCTCCCAGCACACACACACACACACACGCACACAGCACACAGCACACAACACACAACACACAACACAACACAACACACACACACAACACACACACAGCACAACACGCACAGCACACACAACACACAACACACACCACAACACACACAACACACAGCACACACCACAACACACACACACACACTACACAGCACACATACAACACACAACACAACACACACAACACGCCACACAACACACACACACACACCGCCTGAGCGGGCGGCGTGGCGTAAGAGAGCAGTGGCCTCCTGGACCGCACACGCTCGCACCTCCACGCCCTCCTCGTACGCGTGCCTCCTCATCACCCTTCTCCTGCGTATCCCCCATCCCGTAAGATGAGGCGCTCACGCGCCCGCCCCTCCGTGATAATCCTGACCCCCTCGCTCGTCTACCTCCTGATCCACCTCTTCCGCATCGCTCCTTCGCATCGCCTCCCCCATCTGAGCATCCCGTGCCTGGCCCAGACCTCGCAAGTGTGTGATTTTGGTTGTTTGGTCTCAGGGCCACCCGTGAGCTCCTTGCGGGGCCACCGCGTGGGCTTCCAAGCCAAGGACTCGATCATGCAGGCATTGCCCTTCTGGCGCGCTGTACGCCAGGCCGCCTGGCAAGTAGAGCCTGGGCACGTGCGAAGCGCCCTCGCTGGCCCTGACCCGTATTTCTATGATCATGTCGGTGTGCGTGGCTGCATGTGCGTTTCGCGTCATGCGCTATGCTCCGCAGAGTACGGCAGCAACATCGCAAAGGTTCCGTTGAGCTTGGCTATTCCGCCCTTCCCTGTACATTCCGTTTTTCGCATACGGGTCATGTCTCGCACATGTCTCTGGTTGTCCCCCTCGCTCCCCCTCCACAGATTGTCCTCCGTTAAGTTCTAACTCGTCTCTTGCTGCTTCTCCACGTCCTGCTCTTCGTCGTCGTCCTCCTCCAGGGGGTTCGCGTACTACCCCGAAAGCGTCTGTGACTGTCTTGGGAGCAACGGATTTTGTCTCCATGTCTTCGGAGGTCACCGTATAGCGTTTTCTGGTTTCAGAGTTGGAGCTGTTTGGGGCGTTGGGAGGCCTCTAGGGGCCTCGTGAGGCGTGTCGGAAGTTCTCCAAGATCGTATCGGGGTGTTCTGGGGCCTGCCCTCTCGATCGTTCTCTTGGAGCCGTCTTGGGGGACTCGTGGGCTATCAGGAGAAGTTATTTGATTGTCTTCTGGGACCACCGATGGGGGGTACAAGTGGATGTAACTGCGGTTTATATATGGCCTGACCTAGCTCATATTTGGGCTGCAAGTGCCCTGAGTGGCTGTAAGGGTTAGGTAAATCTGCTCGAGCCCGTTCAGTCCGGCTCTCCATTCCCCTTAGCTACACACGGCACTTGTGACCCCCTTACACTCAGAAATTCGAGTACGGCTTTACTAATCGAAGTGAGCTTTGCCAGAGACATCCCGTTGTTTTTGGATTTCGGTTGGTGATTCCGCTTGGGTGCAATCGGAATGCAGTGCCGCGCGCAGCACCGGAGCGCCCCAGCAGGTTTCGCCAGAGGGCGTTTTGCTACATGTGCTTTTGCCATTCTCAATATAAACTAGGATATGCAAGACACCGCCAACTTCAGCAACCAATCGTAGCAGCACCCGAGTTGCTTCATGTTTGGGCCTTTGAGGCCGTGCTGGGGGTCTAGGATGGGCAAGTTGCCACCAACTTCGGCAACCACTCGTAGCAGCACCCGCGGTGCTTCAAGCGGGGGGCCTCCGAGGCCTTGCTGGACGTCTCTCGGCGGCGAGCAAGAGCGGGCCTTCTCAGAAAGCTCCGAAGGCCTCTTGCCTTCTGAGAAGTGGTGTAAGCCTTCCCCGAAGACGCAGCAAATTTCCCAGCAGGTCAGAGGGCTTCTGAGAAGCCCCGCCGTTTTCTGGGAAGGCCTGCTCCTTCTCACTCCCCCGCCTTGCTTGCCGCCGAGGATCTGTGGAAACCATCAGGTACCGATACCGCTGCTTCCTGGACCTTTCCCAGGGCGCGTTCTGACCAGGACTTCGAGGCGAATCCGGCGGCGGCGACGAGGGCCTCCCAAGACGCTGACAAATGGGACATCGAGGGAAGGGTAGCGGTATAGGTACAGTACCTTTTTCTTCCCCATATCCTAAAATGGGGTTCTTGTCATTGCTTGGACGGCGCCGACTCCAACCAGAACCAGAACCCCGCCTCTCCTCCCTCCTCCTCCTTCCTCTCTTCCTCCTCAAACTTACTCATGCACAGGCTTACTCTTACTCAGACTCATTTGTACTCAGACCTAGTCATACTCAGACTTACTCATACTCAGACCTTATCATGATCAGACCAAGTCATACTCAGACTTACTCATACTCAGTCTCGCTATCCTAAGATGGGGCTCTTGTTATTACTTGGACGCCTCCTACTCCTCCTCCTCCTTCCTCTTCTCGTCCCCTCCTCTTCTCGTCCCCTCCTACTCGGACTCACTCATACTCAGACTTACTCAGACCCATACTTACTCATACACAGACTTTTTCATACACAGACTTATTCATACTCAGACTTACTCATCCCCAGACGTACTCATACACATACTTACTCATACTCAGACCTACGCATACTCAGACCTTCTCTTAGCCTGACTTACTCAACACACATCAGATTTGGAGGATGTCTCAGGCGGGGCGCTGGTTTCAGCACCCCTAAGGGGAGCCGCCAGGGGTGTTTGCACGGGCCCGTTCGCGGCCATTTCATGGGGATGTCTCAGGCGGTTTGCTCGTCGTCATGCTCAACATCTTTCGCTTGCAGAGCAGATTGTGAGGATGTCTGAGGCGGGGCGCTGGTTTCAGCACCCCTCAGGGGAGCCGCCAGGGGTGTTTGCACTGGCCCGTTTGCGGCCATTTTGTGGGGATGTCTCAGGCGGTTTGCTTGTTTTCATGCTCAACATCTTCTGTTTTCAGAGCAGATTGTGAGGATGTCTCAGGCGGGGCGCTGGTTTCAGCACCCCTAAGGGGAGCCGCCAGGGGTGTTTGCTCGGGCCCGTTCGCGGCCATTTCATGGGGATGTCTCAGGCGGTTTGCTCGTCGTCATGCTCAACATCATTGGTTTTCATATGAGGTTCTGAGGATGTCTCAGGCGGGGCGCTGGTTTCAGCACCCCTAAGGGGAGCCGCCAGGGGTGTTTGCTCGGGCCCGTTCGCGGCCAGTTTGTGGGGATGTCTCAGGCGGTTTGCTTGACTTCATGCCCAACATCCTTGGCTTTCAGAGCAGATTGTGAGGATGTCTCAGGCGGGGCGCTGGTTTCAGCACCCCTAAAAGGAGCCGCCATAGGGGTAGGACACGGGCCCGTTCGCGGCCAGTTTGCGGGGATGTCTCAGGCGGTTTGTTTGTTTTCATGCCCAACATCCTTGGCTTTCAGAGCAGATTTTGAGGATGTCTCAGGCGCGGCGCTGGTGTCAGCATCCCGAAGGAGAGCGGCCAGGGGGTAGGACACGGGCCCGTTCGCTATCATAGTCAAGCGCTCATGATCGCACGCTCACTATGACATGAGATGCACATACGGGGAGCTCCACGTAGCGAGTGATTGTTTTTTTGTTTTGCTTCTGTCCTGGGTTTTGTATTTCGCTGTTGCGAGCCCCGCTCCGAAGGTCCAGTGCGGCCGCTGCGGGCAGCAGTTCCAGTGCCAGGCCCCCGCCGCGGGCGGGGCCTCCCTGGCGGCGGCCGCGCCGGCAGGCAGGGCGGGGGGGCGGGGGGGGGCTGCCAAAGGTGCCCCCGGCCCAAAGCGCCATGGGGGAGGCGGGTGCTGAGGGAAATCAAAGCCTGAATTACCTACCCCGCTTTCGCTTCCAGGCAAAACCAAGCCATACCACGCGCCTCCTTGTCAAGCGGCCGGACCAGTACAGGCTGCAATTTGGCATCGTTTGGTATCTCTTGGAAGCGAGGGTGGTCAAAAGCGAGGTAGGCTTGTTTTCCCCGTAGGAAACGAGTCCTGAAGTGAAGTCGGGACTGTCCCTCTACAGGGCGAATCTTCAAAGATAGTCAAGACATAGTCAAAAGGATGCTTTTTTAGTCAAAGGAAGAAATGTTTGAATCTGTCCCTATGCTTGTGTATTTTGTTGTTAGAAATCCGCCTGTAGGGGGACACGCCAGACCTGAGGGAAGCGGGTGTTGAGGGAAGCGAGTCCTGAGGTTGTTCGCAATTTTCGGGCTCTCAGGGCCTTCGTGGGCCCCGGCCGTTTTTTCACCGTTTCCGAAGAAGCGTCTCTTGAAAATGGAAGCGGCAAGACAATGGCGACCAGAAGTGGCCAAAAAACGGCTCCAGGATTGGAGCTGGAGCTGGAACTGGTAAAACAACGGCGACGGAGCCAGTAAACAAACGGCGTCGGAACCGGCAACCAGACGGCAAAACGGAACCGGTGACAAAATCTGTCTTTCGTTTCCAGGGCCCACGAAGCTCGGGGCCCTCCACCGGCCCAGGGACTGCCAGGAAACGGCTCGGGATGCAGAGCTCGTCCTGGGGGAAGGCCCCCCGGGGCCCAGGACCCGTTTCCCTCAGGACCCGGTTCCCCATGCCAAGGTTGGGGGGTTGCTGGGTGCCCCTGGCCCAAGGTGCCCCCAGCTTTTCGCTCCGTTTTGGAGCCCCTGGGGCCTTCTGGGCCTCGTGAGGGGTTCTCTGGAGGCCGCGGAGGCCTCTCCCTGGAAATCCTGTGGGCGCCCTGGGCCAGGGGCACTTCTAGCAACACTCGAGGGGGGGGGAATCGGGGGGTTGCTGGAAGTGGCCCTGGCCCTTGACCACCTCGGGTCGTGAAAACATCCCGACGGACGTTTCTGTGCTATTTTGAGGCTCTGGGGGCGTGCCGGGCCCCGTGGCTGCCAAAGAACGACTCGGTATGAAAGCCAGTCCCGGGGAGTGGGTCGAAATCCCTGGGGGTCCTCGAAACCCTTTGGGGTCCAAGACGTGAAGATGGCATGATAACGGAGGTCTGAGGCCCAAGGTTCCAAAAAGAACAAGTGAATTGCATAGCCATAATTCCTCAGAGCTCCGCGCGGAGTTCCTGCATCGGCGCTGGGCCTCCCCCCCCCTGGCGGCGCCTTTGGCGCTGCCCCTTGCGCGCTCCTCGCGTCAGGGAGGGGGTCCAGCGCCGATCCCAGAACTCCGCGCGGACCTCCGAGAAGTTATGCGCATGTCGTTCCTTTTTCCTTTGAGGCGGACGCAGCTTCTTCCAGGGAGAACCCCACGGCCTCCAGAGGTCCCCCTCACGAGGTGCAGAGGGTCCGAGGGTTTCCAGAATGGCGACAAAAGCTGGGGACACCTTTGGCCAGGAACACCTTTCGAGGGGGGAGGGGAGAGGTCCGACGCAGGGATCCCACGATCTGCGATTCTGTCCTCGGAAACCACGACGGCGACGACCACGACCACGACCACGACGACGACGACGACCACGACCACGACGACGACCACGACCACGACCACGACCACGACGACGACCACGACCACGATCACGGCCGCGGCCACGGCCACGACCGCGACGACGACCATGGCGACAACGACGCCGACGACCACGACCACGACAACGACCACGACTACGACCACGGCCAGTACGACGACAACGGTCACGACGACGACGACGACCACGACCACGACGACGACGACGACCACGACCACGATCACGACCACGACCACGACGGCCCCGACCACGACCACGACGACGACGACCACGACGACCATGACGACGACCACGACCACGACGACGACAACGACCACGACGACACCACGACGACGAGCACGACCAGTACGACGAAGACGACGCCGACGACCACGACCACGACGAGGACCACGACCACGACCACGATCACGACCACGACCACGACCACGACGACCCCGACCACGACGACGACGACGACGACCACGACGACGAAGATGACGACCATGACGACGACTACGACCACGGCGACGACGACGACCACGACGACCACGACAACGGCCACCACGACGAGCACGACAAGTACGACGAAGACGACGCCAACGACCACGACCACGACGAAGAGCACGACGACGACGACGACGTCGCTGACGGCAATGACGACCACGACGACGACGACCACGACCACGACCACGACGACGACGACGACGACGCTGACCACGACGACGTCTACGACGACGACGAAGACGACGACCAAGACCACGACCACGACTGCGACCTCGATCACGACCACTACCACGACCACGACCACGACCGTGACGACGACCACGACCAAGACCACTACGACGTCGACGACGACGACGACCATCACGACGACGACCACGACCACGACGACCACGACCATGACCACGACGACGACGACCACGACCACGACAACGACTACGACCGCGACGACGACCTAGACCACGACCACGAGCACGACGACGACGCCGACCACGAGCACGACCACGACAACGCACGCGACGACGATGACGCCGACGACAACGACCACGACCACGACGACGATCACGACCACAGACACGACAACCACGACGACGACCACGACAATGACGACGACGACGACTACCACGATCACGACGACGACCACTGCGACGACCACGACGACGATCACGACAACGTCCACGATCATGACCACGATGACGACGACGACGCCCACGATCACGACGACGACGACGATGCTGCCGACGTCGACGACGACCGCGACCACGGCCACGACGACGACCACGACCACGACCACGACAACGATGACGACCACGACCGCGAGGACGACCACGACCACGTCCACTACCACGACCACGCCGTCGAAGGACGACGCCGTCGACGACGACCACGACCACGACAACGACCACGACGACCACGACGACGATGATGATGACGACGACGACGACGACCACGACCACGACGACGCCCACGACCACGACCACGACGCGGATGACGACGACGACCCTGACCACGACGAACACGTCCACGACGACGACGACGGTCCCGACGACGACGACGACGACAACGACATTGTCGACGACGACGACCCCGACCACGACGATGACGACGACACCGACCATGACCACGACGACGGCGACGACGACGACCACGTCGACGACCACGATGATGACGACGACTACGACGACGACCACGACGTCGACGACGACGTCCACGACGACCACGACCACGACGACGACGAGGACCACGACCACGATCACAACAACGACCGCGACGACGACCACGACCACGACGACGACAACAACGGCCACACCGACGACGACGACGTCAACGTCCACGACGTCGGCGATGACGACGGCGACGTCCACGACAAAGACCACGACCACGACGACGACAAGAAAGACCGACCTCGACCACGACCACGGCCACGGCCACGTCGACGACGACGACCACGACGACGACGACATCGAGGACGATGGCGACGACCACGACGACGACGACGACCACGACAACGACAACGACCTCTTCCATTACGATGACGACCACGACCACGACCCCGACGACCACAACGACGACCACGACGACGACGACCATGGCCACGACCGCAACGACGACCACGACCACGTTCACGACGACCACGACCATGACCACGACCACGACGACCACGACCACGACCACGACCACGACCACGACGACGACGACGACCAAGACGACGACCACGACCGCGACTAAGACCACGACCACGACCGCGACGACGACCACGACCACGCCCACGACCACGCCGAGGACGACCACGACCACGGCAACAACCACGACCTCGACACGTACGACGACGACGACGACCACGACCACGACGACGCCTATGACCACGACGACGACGACCCCGACCACGAAGACCACGACCACGACCACGACCACGACCCCGACGACGACGACGACGACCAACACGACGACGACGATCACGACCACGACGACGACGACGATCGCGACGACCCGCGACCACGACAACGACCACGACAGCGACCACTACGACGACAATCGACCACGACGGCGTTGACGACCAGGACGCCGACGACGACGGCCACGACATCGACGATGGCGACGACTACCACGACCACGACCACGACGACGACGGAGATCACTACATCGTCCACGACCACGACGACCACGACGACCACGACCACGACAACGACCACGACCCCGACCACTACGACGACGACGAACACGTCCACGACCACGACGACGACCACGACCCCGACGGGTACAGGGACGACGACCACGACCAAGTCCGCGACCAAGATTGCGAGCACAACGACAACGATCCCGACCAGAACGATGACGACGACGACGATCACCACGACCACGACCACGACCCCGACCAGTACGACGACGACCACGACCACGACCACGACCACGAGCCCGACCAGTACGACGACGACGACGTCGAGCACGACCCCGACCAGTACGACGACGGCTACGACCATGACCACGACCATGGTTCCCGACCAGTACCAACATCACGACCACGACCACGACCCCGACCAGTGCGACGACGACGACCGCGACCACGACCACGACCACGACCACGACCAGAACAACGACGACCACGACCACAACCCCGACCCGACCACGACCATTACCAGGACGCCGACCAGTACGACGACCACGACCACGACCACGACCACGGCTCAAACCAGTACGACGACGATCAAGACGAGCCCGACCAGTACGACTTAGACGACCACGACCACGACCACAACCCCGACCATTACGACGAAGACGACCACGACCACGACACCGACCAGTACGACGACGACGACGACGACACGACCACGACCACGATCCCGACCATTGCGACGACGACGACCACGACCACGACCACTACAACGACGACCACGACCACGACCCCGACCCGACCACAACAACGACCAGGACACCGACCAGTACGACGACCACGACCACGACCACGACCACGACCCCAACCAGTACGACGACGAAGACGACGAAGACGAAGACGAGCTCGACCAGTACGACTAAGACGACGACCACGTCCACGACCGCAATCCCGACCAGTACGACGACGACGACGACGACGACGACCACGACTTCGACCCCGACCAGTACGACGACGACGACGACGGCGACGACGGCGACCCGACCACGACCACGACACCGACCAGCACGACGACAACGACGACCACAACCACGACCTCGTCATCGACCACGACGATGGCCACGACCACGATCACGACCACGCCCCGGCCAGTACGACGACGACCACGACCTTGGTGAAGACGACCACGACCCAGACCAGTACGACGACCACCTGCAGTACGACGACGACCACGACCACGACCACGACGACGACCACGACGACGACCAGTACGACAACGACGACTACCACGACCACGACCCCGACCATTGCGACAACAACGACGACCACGACCACGACCACGACCCCTACCAGTACGACGACGACCACGACAACGACCACGACCACGGACAGTGCGACGACGACGACCACGACCACGACCACGATCCCGACCACTACGACGACGACCACTACCACGACCACGACCACGAGCCCGACCAGTACGACGACGACGACCCCGACCACGACCGCGACCCCGACCAGTACGATGACCACGTCCACGTCCACGACCACGACCCCGACCAGTACGACGACGTCGACGACGTCGACGACGACCACCACGACCACGACCGCTACGAGTACGACGACCACGACGATGACCACGACCACGACCACGACCCCGACCAGTACGACGACCACGACCACGATCACGACCACGACCACGACCCCGACCAGTACGACGACGACGCCGACGGCGACCACCACGACCACGACCACGGCACGTACGACGATGACCAGTACGACGACGACGACCGCGACCACGGTCACGATCCCGACCAGTCCGACGACAACGACCACGACCACCACCACGACGTCGACCACGACCCCGACACGCACGACGACAATGACGACCACGACCTCGTCATCGACCGTGACAACGACAACAACCACGACCACGACCCCCACTCGTACGACGACGACCACGACCACGACCACGACCACGACCACGACACCGACCAGTATGACGACCACGACCACGACCACGATTACGACCCAACCAGTACGACGACGAAGACGACGACGACGAAGACGAGCCCAACCAGAACGACTAAGACGACGACCACGACCACGACCACAACCCCGACCAGTGCGCCGCCGACGACGACCACGACCACGACACCGAACAGTGCGACGACGATCACGGCGACGACGGCGGCCACGACCACGACCACGACACCGACCAGCACGACGACAACGACGACGGCGACCACGACCTCGTCATCGGCCACGACCCCGACCTGTACGACGAGGACGACCAAGACCACGACCAGTACCACGACTCCGACCAGTGCAACGACGACGACTACCACGACCACGACGACGGCAAGGATTCCGACGACGTCCCCGACCCCGACCACGACGACGACCACGACCACGATCAGTGCGACGACGACGATGACGACCACCACCACGACCACGACCCCGACCAGTACGATGACGACGACGACCACGACCACGACGACGAACCCGACCAGTCCGACCACGACGACCACGACCATGACCACGACTCCGACCACGTCAACGGCGCTGACGACCACGACGACCACGACCACGACCCAGACTCCGATCAGCGCGACGATGACGACGTCCACGACCACGGACAGTACGACGTCGACCACGACCACGACCACGACCACGACCAGTACGACGACGACGACCAGTACGACGACGACGATGACGACCACGACCACGACCACGACCAGTACGACGACGACCACGACCCCGACCAGTACGACGACGACGACGACCACGACGACGACGACGACCACGACCACGACCCCGACCAGTACGATGACGACGACGACGACCACGACCTTGTCCACGACCACTACGACGGCCACGACCACGACCCCGACCAGCACGACGACGACTACCACGACCACGACCCCGACCAGTACGACGACCATGATCACGACCACGACCACGACCCAACCAGTACGACGACGACGAAGACGACGACGACGAAGACGAGCCCCACCAGAACGACTAAGACGACGACCACGACAATGTCCACAATCCCGACCAGTGCGCCGACGACGACGACCACGACCACGACCCCGACCAGTGCGACGACGACCACGGCGACCACGGCGACGACGGCGGCCACGACCACGACCACGACACCGACCAGCACGACGACAACGACGACGGCGACCACGACCTCGTCATCGACCACGATCCCGACCAGTACGACGACGACCACGACCCCGACCCCGACCCCGACCAGGAAGACGACGACGACAACGACCGCGACCCAGACCAGTACGACGACGGCGACGACGACGACGACCACGACGTCGACCAGTACGACGTCGACGACGACGACCCTTGCACCCGACTAGTACAACGACGACGACGATGACGACTACGACCACGACCCCGACCAGTACGACGACGACGACGACGACCACGACCCCGTCCACGACCAGTACGACGACGACAATGACGACCACGACCACGACCACGACCCCGTCCAGTACGACGATCACGACCACCACGACCACGACCACGATCACGATCACGACGACGACCACGACCACGACCACGGCCACGACGACAAGTACGACGACGACCACGACCACGACCACGTCCACCACCAGTACAACAACCACGACGACGATGACGACTAAAACCACGACACCGACCAGTACGACGACGACCACAGCGACGACGACGACGACCACGACCAGTACCACTATGACGACCAGTACGACAAACACAACAACAACGACCACGAGCGCGACCAGTACGACGACGACGACGTCGACGACGACCACGACGACCACGGCCTGACCTCGACCAGTACGACAACGACGACGACGACCACGACGACGACGACGACGACGACGACGACGACACCGACCCCTGCCCCCGATTAGTACGACGGCGACGACGACCACGACCACAAATCCGACCGGTACGACAATGGCGACGACGACGACGACGACGGCGACCGCCACCTCGTCCACGACCACGACGACGACGACGACCACGATCACGACCACGACCACGAACAGTACGACGACGACGATGACGACCACGACCACGACCACGACCCCGACCAGTACGACGACCACCACCACGACCACGACCCTAGTCAGTACGACGACGACGTCCACGACCAAGACCCATGCCTGTACGACGACCACGTCCACGACAACCACCCCGACCACGACAGACCACGTCCCCAATCAGTACGATGACGACGACGACCACCACGACGAGGACCTCTACGACGACCACGACCACGATCACGACCACGACGACGACTACCAGTACGACGACGACGACGACCCCTGCCCCCGACCAGTACGGCGTCCACGACGACCACTGCCACGACCCCAACCAATACGACGACGTTGGCCACGACCACGACCACGACGACGACCAGTACGACGACCACGACCACGACCACGACCACAATCTGTACGTACGACGACGACGACGACGACGACGGCGACGACGACGACGACGACGAAAACGACCACGACCACGACCCCGACCATGACGACGACGATGACGACGACGACGACCACGACCACGACCCCGACCAGTACGACTACCACCATGACCAAGACCAGGACCCCGACCAGAACGACTACCACGGCCACGACCACGACCACGACCCCGACCAGTACGACGACAACCACGTCCACGACCACGACCACGACCCCGACCATTACGAGGACGACGACGACCACGACCACGACCACAATCTGTACGTACGACGACGACGACGACGACGACGACCGCGACGACGACGACGACCTCTACGACGACGCCGACGACGACGACGATGACGACCACGACCACGACGACGACCGTGACGACGATGACGGCCACGACCACGACCACGACGACGACCAGTACGACGACGACGACGACGACCACGACCACGACCACGACGACGACCTCTACGACGACGCCGACGACGACGACGATGACGACCAAGACCACGACGACGACCAGTACGTCGACGAACGACCACCACGACGACCACGACGTCCCCTGCCACTCTCCAACAGGCGTCGGGACCTCCAGGGGCTCCTCGGCCTCCGCTGGCCTGGCCGGCGCAGCCGCGGCGGGGGCGGCCGCGTTGGGCGCGGCCGCGGCGGCGAAGTTCGCGGAGTCGAAGGCGGCGAACCAGGCCGCGGGGAGAGCCTCACCTTCTCTTTCACCACCTCCTCCTCCCCCCTCTCCTGCCCCTCCTCCTCCCCCTCGTCGTCCTCCTCCTCCTCCTCATTCTCCTCCTCCTCCTCCTTCTCCTCCTCCTCCTCCTGCCCTTCGTCATACTACTTCTCCTCCTCCTCCTCCTCCTCCTCCTCCTCGTCCTCCTCCTCTTTGTCATCGTCTCCCTCGTCCTCCTCCTCCTCCTGCGGCGGCTGGGCCTTGCAGCCACCAGACCAGCGCGGTGCCACCCGCGAGACCAGTTGCTGATTGCTGTCCCCTTCCTGTCTCGCTGTGAAGGAAGGAAGGCAGGAAGTTGGATCCGTCTGCGGGTCTGGGGTGGTCCAGCTTTGGTTCAAGCCAGCAGGAAAGGGGGGGGGGGGGGGGCGAGGTTGGGTTCGAGATGATGTGTTGTCTTCTTCTGTCTCTGGGGGCCATTTTCGGGTCCTGGGGACCGTCGAAAATACATCCGGGGTGAAGCCGATTTTGAGCTGATGTGGCTTCGCCCCCCCCCTCTTGAGTTGTTTAATCGCTTCGCTCATTCCGCCGGCACTGGAGCCCTCTTTAGGGCATCTTGGGGGCCTCTTGGGGACCTCTTGTGAGTCTCTTGGGGCTCCTTGGCGGCGTCTTGGGGGCCCCCAGGGCCTCTTGGGGGCCTCTTGGGGGGCTCTTGGGGGCCTTTTGGGGCGGGCGGGGGGATAGTCGATTGCGGCTCCCCCCTCGGAGGCCACGATCCTTGTGAGGGGTGTCAAGAAACTGCCCGGTCCGGCATCTCTGGCCCAGACCTGCCGGGACTTTGCCGGGGTACATTTCGCCCGCAGACCCCCAGGGGCAGCCCCGCCCGCGCGAAGAAGAATATTGTTAACCAGTTACCCGAGATCTTGGCACGCCTCTGGCC